CTTCCGCATATGGGAGCGGGGGGCTGTTCAGAGGAAAGGGAATCCTCCCGGGGACGGCGGTTCGGGGTCGGGACTGTTTGGGGCCGTGGGGGCCGAGGATGCGGTATGAGGAAGAGCAGGCGGAGGAGGACGAGGAGGATGAGGAGGAGGCGGGAGAGGAGGACCAGGGTGCGGGAGGAGGAGGAGGATGACCAGGAGTGGGATGAGGAGGAGGAGGATGAACAGGAGTAGGAGGAGGAGGACGAAGAGGAGAAGGAGGAGGATGCGGTAGGACGATGATGATGATGAGGAGGAGGAGGAGGACGAGGAGGAGGACGAGGAGGAGGAGGAGGAGATTTCTCGGGGCGCGCGATTTTCGCTGACTTCTCGCCGCTGGGTCGCCCCCTCGCGAGCCTCGCCCAGAAGCGCGCGCCCCTTCTTCTCTCGGTCGTTTCCCTTTCGCCCAGAAGCGCGCGCCCCTTCTTCTATATATGCAGAAACTCCCGATCAACCGCAGAGCGGCGGATGTTAGCGAGCGCCCGCTGCTGTCCATTTTCTCCGCGACGTACCGCTTCGTCGCCAAGGCCGGGGAGGCGCCGCGCCAGCGGTGGCCCAGCGTGCGCCGCGAGCTGCCGTGGGCCACGGGCGTCGCGCCCCTGGCCGCGGCGGACCTGCGCGCGGGCTGGCTGGGCCGAGTCCGGCGCGCGGATGCCTCCGAGCGGGGCCGAGGAGTGCGCGAGCGTGACTTTGACAAAACTGCGGTTCAGAAGTTTTGGAGAGTTCATGAACGCCGGCGCTTCCGAGGCCCCAGCGCGAGAGCCCCCGGGGAGGAGCTCCTCGCGCCATCGGAGCCCTACGAGAGCCTCATCGACGTCGAGCCGCGGTCGAAGTCCAACGTCCTCGCTAGCCCGTCGGCTTCTGCGGCGCCCACCTACCTCGCGGGGCCCCTTATCCAGCGGCTGGCCACAGGATTTGAGCCTCTTGCAGTGGAGCAGGTCTCGGGTGAATGGGTCGTCATCTCCAGCGGGGCCTGGGGGCGGGAGGAGCACGTCGCGGCGTTGGGGGGGGGGCATTCACGCACTGAAACATGTACTTCCAGATTCGAAACAGCATGGGCATCGTGTTCTCTTTCTCTCGGACAGCCTCATCGCTGCCCTGGTTCTTTCGAAGGGCCGCTCCTCGCGGCCGAGGATGGCCCGCGTCTGCCGTCAGTGGGCCGCCCTGGCCGTTGCAGGCGGCATCGGCGCGGCGCTGCTCTGGACACCCTCGGAGGCGAACCCAGCGGACCTGCCGTCTCGTCGCGCCCTTCGCATTGGCGCTCGGCCCCAGTGGGATGCAATCGCCAATCTGGCCGCCGCGAAGGGGCCCGGCCCCGCGAGCGGCGGTGGCCCGGGGCCAGGCCGCGAGGCCGCGGGCGCCGCTGGTGGCCGCCTCCCCGGCAGGGCCGGCGCGGAGTCGCAACCGGGCCGCCCGCGGCCAAAAGGCGAAGGCGGCGGAGGCGGCGGCCGGGCGCGCAGGGAGGGCAGCGGCGCGGGCGCCCGAGGCCGCAGCCTTGCCGGCCTCGGCAGGGCACGTGCTGAGGGCCCTCTCGGTTACCGAGACCACGAGGGCCAAGTACGTGAACCTGTGGGGGGACTTGGGGACTTCACCGCCTGGCTGGCGACCGCGACTCTGCCGCTTCGGACCTAGACGGCGGACGACCTGCTGGCGCAGTGGATGGACCAGCAGTACTCGGACGGCTGGAACCTTGAGCGGGGCGCCTACATGTTGGCGGCTTTGAAATTCATGATGCCACAGTTCTCGCGCGGCGGGCTCGGGTTGCCGCTGGCGATGCTGGCCCTATGGGGCCGGCGGAGGCGGGTGCCCGCCCGCGCCAGGCTCCCACTCCCGTGGGAGATCGCGGCGCTGATCGCGGCGAGGCTGATCGACGTTGGCCAGCTGCGGGCGGCGATCGACGCGCTGGTGACCTTCGCGGGTTACCTGCGGCCTTCGGATGCGAGGGCGACGGGATCTCACCTGATCCTCCGACGCTTGGCGGGGCGTGCGACGGGTGGTCGCTGGTCCTCCATCCCGGCGAGATGGCGGTGCCGAGCAACATTCCGGTCTACGACGAGGCGATGCCCTTCGACGCGCCGTTCTACGGTTTCCTGCCAGCAGCCCTTCGCCGGCTCAAGGCGTCGACCCGTCCGAACGCGCCGCTGTCCCCGATCACCCTCGTGCAGACCAGCGCCCTCTTCAAGCAGGCGGCGGCCGACGTTGGCGCTGCCGCGCTGGCGCCATAGCTGTGCCAGCTCAGGCACTCGGGGCCGTCGGTCGAGCTGGCCATGGAGCTGCGGGCCCTGGCCAGCTTCAAGCTGCGCGGCCGCTGGAGGACCGACGCCGCGGTCGCCCGGCACCCAAAGCCCGGGCGCGTGAATGAGCAGTTGCAGAGGCTGGGCCCCGCGGTGCAGCGCGCGGCCTTGCTGGCCCCCGCTCGGCTGGCCTCGCTCTTCAGCTGGCGCTGAGGAGGCTGCTGGGGCCGCGGCGCAGACGTTTCCTGGCGCCGCCCATCTTCGTGGAGGTGTTATCGGGCGAGGGCTGGCTCGCGGCTGCCCTGCGCAGAGAGGGCCCCCTGGTCATCGAGTGGGACATCGCCTGAGGGCCCGACAAGGATCTGACGGTCCCGAAGGTGGCGCGGCTGCTACGTGGCTGGCTGGACGCGGGGCTCACCTGGGGCATGCACTTCGGGGTGCCCTACCTGACGTGGACCAGGATCAGGGACACTGGACTTGTTCGTGCACCAGGTGGGCCTGGGCCCTGGCCCAGTCGCATGAGATCTGACGACGAGATCTGGGGCCTGGCTGCCGCGACGCACCCATCCGACCGTGCTCAGATAGCGCTGGCGAACAAACTCGTGAGATTGTGTGAAAGCCTCTGGTCTGTTTGTCGGCGCATGCAGATTCCTTTCACAATCGAGAACCCTGCCATGTCTAGGCTCTGGCTCATACCGCCCAATCAGCGGCTTCGGAAGCAAGCGCATGTCTTCTGGGCTGCCACTCACTACTGTCAAGACGGGCCTCTTTTGGAAGAAGCCCACGGGTCTATTGGGGTTCCTCGTAGATGTTGTCTTTGTAAGGCTCCCGCACTTGTTGTAGCAGAACTGGCAGGCCCCATCAGAATCTGAAGGGTTGAGCTCCGGGACGCCCTCTGTCGACTCTTGTGGCACAGCCTTGCCCAAAATCGCTCGCCACCAGATGGGCGACAGTTTTTGTCAACGCTCGTTTGCAGTCTGGAGCTTTATCCGTCTCGCCGTTGTGGACCGGCTGCTGACTAGAGAAGAGGAGCCTTCCGGAATGTTCGGGAAGGTTCGGCAGTGGGGCCACGCGTCAGAGCTGAATTCGGTTATTGAATGTTCTCTGCCCAGGCCCCAGTGTGCACACGGTGCTGCCTTTCGCTCTCAAATACAATCCGACGCTCGCCTCGGAGAAACCATCGTTCGGGCACGATGAGGATGGTGCTGGTGATGATGATGGTGGTGGTGATGGTGATGCGGATAAGTATGGTGACGATGGCGATGCTGAACATGATGGTGATGCTGATCATGCTGCTGATGATGGCGATGCTGATGAGTAGGCTGATGATGATGGTCACCATCATCATAGAAATGGTGACGCTGACGCTGACGGTGCTGGTGGTGATGACGATGAGTATGTTGATGTTGATGATGGTGGGTCTGATGATTATGCTGATGACGACGATGATGATGATGGTGGAAAGGACGAGTAGTATTGTAGTGTGGTTTGGCGCTGCTGGTGATGTTGATGCCGACGTCTATGGTGGTTGTGATGGTGAACGTTATGTTAGTGTTGATGATTGTGCCGACGGTGTTGATGTTGGTGCTGGTGGGGCGGCGGGGAAGGGTTAGATGGTGATGGCACGGAAGCGAAGGATGTGGGCAAGAACCAGGGAGAGGAGTAGCGAATGAGCGCCAGGGTAATTGCGAGAAGGATGGTGAGGGCAAGGATGAGGAGGGGCGAGTGCAACGAGAACCAGGACGACAAAGAGGAGGAGGATAATGAGGAGGGGGGGAGAGGAGGAGGGGGCAGAGGAAAAGGTGGAGATGGAGGAAGAAGATAACGGAGGGCGGATGGATGCCGATGACGATGAAGATGGAAAGGGAAATGAGGGGGAGGATGATGACAAGGAGGCAAGGGTAGGATGCGAACCAGGAGAAAGATGAAGAGGTGGGTGGGTGCTGATAAGGAGATGAGGAGTGGGAAAGAGATGGAGCAGGAGGACGAGGGCAAACGGTAACGACGATGAGAGCATGGAAGGGCGACCTGAGGATGCACGGGAGGACGACAAGTGAGAGGGGAGGGACGGTAAAGAGGACGGAGTAGTGAGAGGAGGACGAGGAGGAGAGAAGGACGAGGACGAGCAGAGAGAGGATTGATGGGAAGAGTGGACGAAGGGGAGAAGGAAGAGGAAGAGGATAAGCTATGTGCGCACGCGCCATATCTGGCATCCGACCCCTCCCACCCATCCCTTCCGGCCACCCACCCCTACTCTCCCCGAGTTTTCGGCTTATGCGGTGTTTTCACGGGATCGGGTAAGAGGGAGGCTTTGCGAAGGTGCCAGAAAAAGCAAAGCTGCACGGGCCCTTGGTGGGCCAGAGGTTTGCTCGGTGCATTTTCCCTAGTCCTCGGAGTCTGCTCGAAAAGGAGGAACCTTCCCAAACTGTCCATCCACTGGTACCAGCGCCTCTACCCTGGAGTGTCATCAGGGTTGGTCTTCCTCGGAATGACTGCGGCGTGAGTGCCACTGATGTGTTAGATTCCTCTCTCCCCCCTCTTGACTCTTTCTCGCGCAATCGCAATTATGATTGGATCGAGCCCGTTTCGCAATTTTTCGGGGGGCTTACACCTGACGTGGGAGTTTCGCCCACTGTTGTCTCAGAGCCCATTCGGGAGCTGGCGTCGCAAATCATGGCGACCAACTTCCCGTCTGGACAGGCCATCGTGGTTGGCGGTGGCTTGGGTGGCATGTCGGCGGCCAACACGGTGCTGGAGAACAATGGCAAGGTCGTGTTGCTCGACAAGTCGTCCTTCTGCGGGGGCAACTCCACCAAGGCCACCAGCGGCATCAACGGCGCGGAGACGAAGACTCAGAAGGACAAGGGCATCAATGACACCATCACTCTGTTCACAAACGACACCCTCAAGGGCGGCGCCAAGAAGCCCGAGCTGGTCAAGGTCCTGTGCGGCAACAGCGGGGCCGACGTCGACTGGCTGGTGGAGAAGTTCAACCTCGACCTGTCCCTGGTCGCCCGCCTCGGCGGCCACTCTGCGCCGCGAACCCACCGAGGAGCCGAGCGCTTCCCGGGGATGACCATCACCTACGCCCTGATCCAGATGGTCGAGAAGGTCGCCGAGAGAACGGATAAGGCGCGCATCATCACCAAGGCCAGGGTCACCAAGCTGCTCACAAGCGGCAGCACCTGCGTGGGCTGCAGCTACGAGAAGGGAGGCCAGGTTTTCTCCGAGATGGGGCCGGTCATCCTCGCCACCGGCGGCTTCGGTGCGGACTTCACCAGCAACTCCCTCTTGGCTCAGTACCGCCCCGACCTGATGCACCTGCCGACCACCAACGGCGAGCACTGCACCGGCGACGGCATCAAGATGGGCGAGGCGATCGGGGCCAAGTCTATCGATCTTGAGTGGGTGCAGGTGCACCCGACTGGCCTGGTGAAGCCCGACGACCCCGACGCCAAGATCAAGTTCCTGGCTGCCGAGGCGCTCCGTGGCGTCGGCGGTCTGGTGCTGGATGCGAACGGCAAGCGCTTCGCGAACGAGCTGGGACGCCGCGATTACGTCACAGGCGAGATGTGGAAGAACAAGCCGCCCTTCCGGCTCTGCTTGAACAAGGCTGCGTCCGCTGAGATCGCGTGGCACTGCAAGCACTACACCGGCCGCGGCGTCATGAAGTTCTACGAGACTGGCGAGGCGCTCGCCAAGGACATGGGCGTTCCCATTTCCGTGCTGGAGCAGACTCACAAGGAGCATTTCGAGGCCGCTAAGAAGACCGAGAAGGACCCGGACGGCGGCTCATTCCCGGCCTACCCCAGCGGCAAGTCTTGGGACGAGGCCAGCGGTAAGACGGGTTCGGGCAAGAAGTTCTACCACAACGTAATCGACGGCCCCGCGGTGAAGAGCGAGCCCTTCTACGTGGCCATCATCACGCCAGTGATCCACTACTGCATGGGCGGCCTCGAGATCGACACGGACTCCGCCTGCGTCGGCGCCAACGGCAAGGCCATCCCGGGGCTCTACGCGGCCGGCGAGGTCGCCGGCGGCGTGCACGGCAACAATCGCTTGGGGGGCAATTCGTTGCTGGACTGCGTGGTGTTCGGCCGCGTGGCGGGCCTCGCCGCGACCAAGTACATGTTGGGCGCGGACTGCAAGCCCGTGAGCCTCAAGGACCTCTCTGGCGGAGGCCTCACCGGCGAGGTGACGGCGTCCAAGAACGCGGGCGGCTCGTACGAGGATGGCATGAACAAGGGCGCGGAGGGCGGAAAGGCAAAGGGCGGCGCCGCGCCCGCCGGCAAGGGCGGCGTCAAGGGCTACTCCATGGAGGAGGTGGCCAAGCACACCAGCAAGACCGACTGCTGGGTGGTCGTGGCTGGCGAGGTGCTCGACGTGACCTCGTTCCTGAGCCAGCACCCCGGAGGCGAGCTGGCCATCCTCACGTTCGCCGGGAAGGACGCCACCGAGGAGTTCAACATGATCCACCCTCCGGACGTGATCCCGAAGTACGCCCCCGACGCCGCCATCGGCGTTCTCGGCGCAGGGGGCGGCGCGGCCCCGGCGGCGGCGGCCAGTGCCTCGGCAGCGACGGCGGCCGCGGCGGGAGAGCATGGCGCGCGCGACTGGAAGTTGGCGAACGACAACCGCAACAAGAGGATGGGCGAGTACGGGCGCGTCCCGGGGCCCATCGGGGCGCTGGTCTACATGGTCATCGCCTTCATGAAGGAGGTCCTCTTCACGATCTTCGGCCAGAAGAACTTCCACTTCACCAACGACCGCATTGGCCTGACGCGCTCCGCGATGTTCATGTTCATCTTCATCATCATCCACGCAGTCGGCAACCTGCACGTGTTCCTCGGCCCGGACGACTTCAACGGATATGGATACTTCTACGTCCGCCTCTACTGGACGGGCTTCGGCTTCAACGCCAACATCGTGGAGGAGTACATCCTGCTCGCCGCGCTGCTCCACGTGGCGGTGGGCCTGAAGCGCACCTGGGACATCTCGATCAACTACACCATCGCCTCTGGCAAGCTCAACCTCGCGATCTCGGGCATCACGCTGCTGACCTTCATGAGCATCCACCTCTTCCAGTTCCGCTTCGGCGACACGCAGCCGTTCGAGCTGTGCCCGCCGCCGTACCTGATCAACGTGGCCACCTTGCTGGAGCTGAGGCTGAATCTCTTCTGGGTCCACGACGCCGACTGCGTCAAGGCGAGCGTCCGCGACATCTACCGCATGGAGTTCGAGGTCTTCCAGTCCCTCGGCTGGTGCCTCTTCTACATTAGCGCCGTGGCCATCTTCGCCACGCACATGTGCCTTGGCTGGCAGAAGGCTGTCCCGGCTCCTGCGCTCGAGATCCCCAAGCGCTTCCACAACAAGGCGATTCACATCGGCTACATCATGACGGCCTTCATCGCGTTGGTCTACGTCAGTTTCCCGCTCTACACGCATGTCTTCCCGATGTCCGACGGGGCGATCACCCCAGAGGCCCCGCTGCCCGTCCCCGTCGCCGCCGCGGGCCCGGCGTGAGCAGACTCTAGCGAGCCTGGGCCCAGCGCTTCGCAGCACTCTGCGGCCCGTCGATCGTGCTTTTCCTTCGCCCCCTGTTCCCCAAGCGGTGCTTGCACTTCTCGGGGCTCTCTCTTTGTTTCTGAGCAAGTTGCTTTGTGTGTCCACGGTCTTTCGCCCATTCCCAGCCTGTGGGTGCCTCGTGGGCGCTTCATGCGCTGGTTGGCGGAAATGGGCGTCGCCCGGTCGCCGCCCGCGTCCGCCCGTGGGGGCGCCTCAGGAGCGCCTCGCGCGCGGGCTGCACCACACGGCTCGCACCACACACGGTTACGCCACATACCTTGCACCACACAGATTGCGCACCACTGCGTAGCTTCCACCTACACAACCCTTGCACAACACAGCTTGTATCACGTAGCTTACACCACAGAGCTTGCACCACCGTGTAGCTTCCACCTACACAACCCTCGCACATCCAGAGGGCACACTCTGACCGCTTGGGGCCCAAGCTGACAGCAATGACTTCCTTCGCTCTCCCTACCTGTTCCTCTGTCTTTCCAGTGCTCCGTCCATCCGCGGGCCCGCGCGTCGCGGCCGCGGCTGCCAGTAGCGCTGCCGATAGTCATGGGCTGAAAAATGTCCTCGGGGGGGCCACGCTCAAGTCAGGGTCAGCCATGGCCCGCGCTTCAATATTGAATGCGTGTGTTCACGTCGCCCCAGGGGGGGGGGGGGCGGAAAGACTCAGAGCCACGGGCTGTCTCGGTATGACATCGCCGCTCGAGGGGACGAGCCCCATGTGGTGCGTGTGTGTGTGTGTGTGTATGTGTGGGCGGGCGTGTCTGTGTGTACGTGTGTGCGTGTGCATGTGTGTGTGTGTGTTTGTGTGTTTGCGTGTTTGTGTGTGTGTGTTCGGGCGGTTGTGCGGTTGTGTGTGTGTGTGTGTTTTGTCTGTGTGTTCGTGTGCGTGTGTATGTGTGTGTTGTGTGGTGATGTGTTTGTGTGGCTGTGCGTGTGCGTTGTGCGTGTTTGTGTCATCGTGTTTTTGTGTGGTCGTGCCTGTGTGTATTTGTGTCGTTGTGTCTGTGTGCATTCGTGTCTTTGCGTGGTTGTGTAAGTATGTGTGTTTGTACGTGTGTGCTTGTGCGGGTGAGTGCGAGTGTGTGTGTGTGTATGTGTGTGCGTGTGAGTGTGAGTGTGTGTGTGAGTGTGTAGGTGCGTGTCTATGTGTGTCTGCGTGTGTGAATGTGTGTATGTGTGTGGTTGTGTGTTTGTGTGATTGTGTGTGTCTGTGTGTGGATGCGCGTGTGTGGGTGAGTGTGTGTGTGTGTGTCTGTATATTGTTTGTTTGTTTGTCTGTATATGTGCCTGTGTCTGTGTCTATGCATGAGTGCGCGTGTGAGTGTGAGTGGGCGTGCGTGCGTGTGCGCGCGTGCATGAGTGAGTGTGTCTGTGTGTGCGTGCGTGTATCCGTGCATGTATGTGTGTCGTGTGTGTGCGTGTTGTGCGTACGTGTGTGTGTGTGCGTCTGTGTGTCTGTGGGTCTGTGTGTCTGTATGTCTATGTGATTGTGTGCGTCTTTGTGGTGTGTGTGTGTTTGAAGCACGCGATGTTGAAGCACGCCATGATGGAGCACTGCCTGTTCAAGAACACGTCGACGAAGCAACACACGGTGAAGCTCGCCACGACGAAGCACGTCACGACTGAGCTCTCCACGAGGAAACACTCCGCGATGAAGCATTGCACGACCAAGGCATTCCCGATGAAGCACCGCCTGCGAAGCCCTCGCCGTCGAAGCACCTCGCGGGGAAGCCGGCCACGACGAGGCCCACTGCCGCGAAGCTCGCCGTAGCGCACAGTATCCATATTGTTTTTTTTATGTGGGGCAATGTACGTACGATGAACGCTTTGAGCGGGGCGAGGTTCACAACTGGGATGAGCTGGAAGCGCTGGATTACCAGCAGCCCACAAATGAGCAAAAAACTGAGGCGGAATATGTAGCCGAAGCAGATGACAAAGAGGGGGCTGCCGGCAGCTCGAACGGCCAGTGCGCCGCGATCCTCCACGGCGCCCGAGGGCCTCCACTTTGCCTTAAGGAAAGGTCCCTGGGCTCGCCGTGGCACAAGAGCCCGTTTGAACCAGGATGGTGTTTGTAGCGGCGGCGCAAGGCGACAGCCTCACGAAGTATAGCATACGTTGTTTGCAGGGTTGTGCCCGTGCTCTGGCACGGCTGTCCCCGAAGGCGAGTTGGCATGAGTATGGTTTCGCGGCGCTCCAGCAATGTACCACTTCAAAAGTACAGTGTCTTTTTGCGGACCCGCCACTCCAGATTAAGGGGCAGCATATCTCAAGCAGTGGCGAAGCGGCCTGGCTCGCCTATAGCCCTACCAAACAATGTTCTAAGAACCTTTTGTTGTTTCCACGAAGTGCTCTTAGAACATTTATGGTTGATATTGTCTTGTTTAAACACATCGGGTTCATGTTCTAAGAACATTGTTTTTACTATCCGAACATTTGTGGGTTCGAATTGCATTTCGTGGTAGGACTATAGGAATGCCGGGACGGTCGTCCCTGCTCAAATATCGGGGCGGGCCGGCGGCTGGAAGTTGGAGGGCCCGTCTGTTCGGAGCACCTGAGCCCGGGCACGGCCGCGGAAAAACCTTGCATGTGTGTTCATGTGTATGTGCACGTGCATGTGTATGTGTGTTTGTGTTTGTGTTTGTGCTTGTGTGTGGTTTTATTCGTTTCTTTGTGTATGTTTGCGCGTGGGCGCGTGCATGTGTTTTTGCGTGTGTTTGTACGGGTGCGTGTGCTTGAGCGGGTGCTGGTGTTTGTGCTTGTGCTTGCGCTTGTTGGTGTGAGCGTGATCGTTGGCGAGGGTGTGGGTGTGGATGCGGGCGTGGGCGTGGGCGCGCGTGCGTTCGTGGGTGCGTGGGTGTGCGCACGTGTGCAAGTGTGTTTGTGTGGGTGTGTGTATGTATGTGTATGTGTGTGTGTGTGTTGTGTCTGCGTCCGTGCCTGTGTCTGCGTATACGTTTGAATGTGTGGCTGCGCTTGTGTCTGTGCCTGTTTGTCCGTTTGTCTGTTTGTTCGTCCTTTTATATGTGTCTCTCTGTCTCTCTGTCTCTTCTGATTGTCTTTCTGCCTCTTTGTCTCCACGCACAACGTTCATATCACAACGGAGCACGATCGGCCCGTCGTTTATCTTCAGAGCATTGGTGGCAACGCGGCGAAATATGGAACAAAAACGAATGACAATTATCGCACATCTCTGTTAATGGATACTCAGAATACATACTCCAAGTGTACCTCGACAGCTTTGCTGGTTATGTCTTAAGAGAGCTGGCCTGTTGCCACGCCTTCCCGAAGCAGCGATTCGGATAAATGAAAGCACTACTTATGTTGCCCGCATGAAAATTGAATGTAGAACCTTATAGGTTCAGGAGAGGCCTGAGAAAGGGCTTTCCAGCATCATGCGTGTTGGTCTATATGTATCATACGGTTGGCTTACTTCTCATTGAGGATGCAGTTGCAGGCGAGCGTGTCGACCCAGGCCAATGATTGGTAGCTCGCCCCCTCCCCGTCGATCCACAGTTGAACGCCATGGCACTGAGCCGAACGGCACCAGAGTCCAAGCGGGCAGAGAGGAAGGTGACGGATCTTCTCTCGAAGGCGTTGGGCTTCGCGGGCGACACCAGCGCGTCAGGCCTATGCTAAGGAGACCGAGCAGGTTGCGATCCGCACCCTCGCCTCACTCGGCGACACTTGCCACCCAGACAAGACTGGGCGCTTTTCGGCCGGCAAGATGGTTACGGAGATGCCAGGCTTTCAGAAATCAGTTCGTTTTTTGGGGTCCTTGGACAGATATGGGCGGAGGTTGTCGCACGGACACTGCTCGTCGACTTGAAGCAGTTCGAAACATATGGCGCCAGCTGCACCAGAGAAGTTTCCGCGGTTGGGGTCATCACGCCAATTGCGCGTTCAGGTTCGTCGTGCCAGTGCATATGCAGCACTATTCTTCGGAGCGGAGATTCGCACGTTCACGCACAATGAGTTGGACCAGCATCGACCTTTCACGAATCGGATAATTCGTCGTGTATGCTACGACGCGAAGGTTCAGATCGGCAAATTGCGGAACATGGAGGGCCAGCACACCATGGTGGACCTGCGGCGGCTCACGGGCTTATACGACATACAGACCATGACCGTTGGAAAGCAAGTGGGTTTCATTGGGCATCTTGTGCGGTACCCAGAACACCGAGTTGAGCGACAGATCGTGGGAGTGGTCCTGGCAGCCTCGTGGACACCAGGTGGCGCGCGCTCTCGCACGTTGCGCGGCACCTAATGGAGCAGGATCGCGGAGGTGACGCTGGCGCTCGGATACCAAGCATCGGAGGCCCCGTCGGCGTGGATGGACATCGCCAAGAATCACCAGCAGTGGGCCGGAGGTTCGATGATGGTGGTCGCGCAGTATCGTCAGAAGAATGAGTTATATACGTGGCATCATCGGCATCACGGCCCGCACACGCTGGTCGACCCGCAGGCGCCGCTGGCGTCGCAGATTATCGACGCCAGAGGGCGAGCTCGTAGTGCTCGCTGCCGAGGGTGGTACTTCAACATCAGGAACAATTTACCGGCGTGCTAACGGCGCCCGACTCCAGCATGCCCGCCACCGCCTCGAGAGCAGAAGCAGCGCAATGACTGCCGCCGCTGGTTCGCAGACTCGAACGTGCACATGAATCGTTGCAAGGGTCCGCTTCTCCTTCCTCCACCTCCTGCTGCCGCTGTCGCCCGCTTCGTCGCGCACGTCCCCAGCGTTGCGTCGCCAGGGCGAGCAGAGCCTCAGCAGCGAGCTCATTACCAGCAGCCTCACAAGCAGCAGCAGCGAGCACGTCATCAGCAGCAAGAGCGAGCAAATCACGCGCAGCCTCTAAAGCAGCAGCAGCAGCAAAATCAGCATCAGCAATGCCCAAGATAAGCCTGTCACAAGAGCTAGCGTCCCAAACGATCCGAGTTCGCTGCCGACTTAAGCGGAAGACCCTTGGGGCATATTAGTGCGCAGTTCATGATCTGCGGGAGGGGCGGCGACGAGAGGTTCACAAACAGGCCCCACGTGGCCCCCGGAAAAACGCGCCCCTCGCAATATGCACAGGCGCACGGCAGAGAGTGAAACCCGCAAATGCAAAGAAGCATCGTCAGCAAAGACATCTGGAAAGTCCGGATGTCCACAGAGCTGGGATTCCGTCTCTTGCGCGATGCACATATATAATTGTAACAGCATGTATGCTTGAGGATGAGTACGCCGAATAAGGCAGGCGACGTCGCACATAGAAATTGTCCGAAGCTCAGATTGCGACCTGGCCGATGCCCCGCCCCCATTGCGGTCTCGAGTTTGAGTCTGAACGTGCCGCGCGTGCTCACCTCACTCAACGTTGCGAGCGCCGTCTGAGCGCAGGGCTCAGAGCTGTGGTGCGACGTGTTCATGGTTGTCTCTCTTGAGTCTAGTCTACTGTCAGTTTGATGGCGGGCGCTCTTTCAGCGGCCATGGCCGTGGCGGAGTCAGGGGCGGGCTCGACGGCCAAGCCGAAGGGCAAAGGGAAGGGGGGCAGGCGCGCCCTCGAACAGGTCGAGGGCGGCGTGGGGGGGGGGGGGGGGGGGGGGGGGGCGCTGTTGCGCAGCACGAGCGGTCCATTCATTTTCTCGAGAGCCGCGCTTCTTCTTTCATCTTGATTCGGGGGGGGGAGCAACAGCAGAAGTCGGAGCTGCCTCGCGACGCGCATCGCGCGGGCGAGAAGTCACGCCAGGAGAAGCGCCGCAGCGTCCAAGGCGGGCGGCCCAGCACTCCCACCCATCGAGCCGCGTCCGCCAGGGTCGCAGAGATCGCTGTTGTTCACTCACCTGGTGGCCGAGGCGAACAAGCTCGCGCCCTCGAACGGGGGCGTGGCCACGCAGATGTCGGAATGGATTGCGGCCCCCATTGCCAAGCAGGCCAACGAACTCGCGTTCCGCATGAAGTCCAAGAACCGCTCTCCGAAAGAGGACCCCCGCGGGTTTGGGGCGCGCCGCGCTCCGACCGCAGGTCAGAGGACGCAGGCAATTTACAGGTCGCGCAGTCCGCCGCCATGGAGCGGCGCGTGGTCAGCCGAGCCGATGCCGCCAAGACGCCCCAGATCGCCGACATGCGCAGTCAGGACGGCCCCGCGATCAAGCGGCCCACGCCTCTTCGGAGAGGTGGTGGCGGTTGTGGCGAGGACGGCGTGGAGGGCGACGCCGATGGCATGGGGCTGGATTTGTCTTCCTGTGTCTGCGCGGTCGTGCCTGTGTGCATGCGCGGCGTTGTGTCCGCGTGCCTCCGTGTCTCTGCGTTGGCGTTTCAGTATGCGCGTCTGTGCGTGTGCGTATGTGTGCGCGGGTGAGTGCGAGTGCGCGTGCGGGTGCTAGTGTGCGTGCGTAAGTGTGCAGGTGCGAGTTTGCGCGTGTCTGCGCGCGCGCGCCTGTGTTTGGTTGTGCGTTTGTGCGCTTGTGCGACTGTGTGTGTGTGTGTCTGTGCGTGGGGGGGGGGCGCGCGCGTGGGCGCGCGCGTCTGCGCGTTGCTTGTTCGTTTGTCTGCATGCGTGCCGGCGGTTGCGCCCAGGCACGCGCGCGCGAGTGCTCGCGCGCATGCGCCCGGGCGCGCGCGCGCCCGCGCGTCCGCGCGCCTGCGCGGTTGCGCGCCCCCTCGCGGCGCGCGCGCGCGGAACGACGTCGAAGCACGCCGCGACGGAGCACTGCCCGTTGAAGAACACCTCGGCGAAGCAGCGCGCGGCGAAGCTCGCCGCGACGAGGCGCGCCGCGACTAAGTTCCCCACGCAAAAACACTCCGCGACGAAGCAGTGCACGACGAAGGCATTCACGATGAAGCACCGCCTGCGAAGCGCTCGCCGTCGAAGCACCTCGCGGCGTCGCCGACCGCGACGAGGCCCGCCGCGGCGCACCAGATCAGCACTGAACCTGTTTCATGCGAGGCAGCGCGCGCAAGATGAACGCCTGGAGCGGGACATGGATGAGCTGGAAGCGCTGGATTACCAGCGGTCCGGGGGGACAATGAGCAAGCAGCAGAGGCGGAATATGCAGCCGAAGCAGATGACGAAGAGGGGGCCGCCGGCAGCTCGAACGGCCACTGCGACGCGACCCCCCGCGGCGCCCGAGGGCCCCCACGCTGCCATTGAGAAAGGCCCCCGATCGCGCCGCGGCGCTGGGGCCCGTCTGAGTCAGGACGCCGTCTGCATCGGCGGCGCACGAAGTATAACATACGTTGTTTGCAGGGTTCTGCCCGCGCCCTGGCACGTCTCCTCCCCGAAGGCGAGTTGACATGAGCATGGCTTCGCGGCGTCTCGGCAATTGTGCTTGTGCTGGTGGTTGCGCTTGTTGGCGAGGGCGTTGGCGTTGGCGCGGGCGCGGGCGCGGGCGCTCGCGCGCGCGCGCTGGCGTTCGCGGGCACGGCGGCCCGCGCATGCGCGCGCGCGTGCTTGCGCGGGCGCGTGCATGTGCATGTGCGTGTGTCTGTGTATGCGTTTATGTATGTGTCTGCGTCTGCGTTTGTATTTGTGTCTGTGCCTGTTTGTGTGTCTGTCTGTCTTCCTGTCTCTTTTTAAGAGTCTCTCTCTCTTTCTGTCTCGTCGCGTTGTCTCTGCTTCCTTGCCGCGAGTGTGGTGCGTGCGGCGAGTGCGTGCGCGTGCGTTGCGCGTTTGCGTCGCGCGTTCTGCGCGGCGCGCGCGGCGCGCATGTTGCGCGGGATGCGCGTCGCGCATGTGCGCGCGCAGCGCTCGTGCAACGCGCGTGCAAGTACGCGCGCGCGCTGCGCGCGCGTTGCGCGCGTGCTGCGCGCGTGGTTCGCACGTGTTTCGCGGGTGCTGCGCGCGTGATGCGCGCGTGCCGCGCATGCGTTGCGCGCGCGTGCGCGCACGCGGTGCGCGTTGCGTGCGCATGTGTGCACGTGTGCGCGTGCGCGTGCGCGTGCGCGCGTGGGCCTGCGTGCGTTCGCGCGCGCGCGTGTCTGTGCGTCTGTGCGTTTGTGCGTTTCTGTGTGGTGTGTGCGGCGCGTGGTGTGTGATGTTTGCTGTGTGATGTGCGATGCGTGGTGCGTGGTGTGTGCGTTATGCTTTCTGTGTTGCATACGCTGTGTTGGCTGTATCGCTTGGTGTTTGGCGCGTTGTGTTGGGCGCGTGCGTTGTGCGATGTGCGTTGTGTGATGTGCGTTGCGTGGTGTGTGTTGTGTGTTGCGTATTGTGTAGTGTGCAGCGTGTTGCATGTGTTGCGTGAAATGCATGGAGTGCGTCTTTTGCGTGGCTTCTGTGGCGCGCGTGGCGTGCGCGCGCGTGCGCGCATGCGCATGTGTCTGTATTCGCGCGACTCTATTTGCGTTTGCGCGCGGGGGGATGCGCCGCGCGTGCGCCCGCACGCGCGCGCGGGCGCTCAAGTGCCTTTGCGCGCGCGTGTCCGGGCCTTTCGGCGCCCTGTCGCTGCGCGCGAGGCCGCGACGCCAAAAAGTGCGTTTGCGCGTGTCTGCGTGATTCTGCGCGCGTCGGCGCGCGCGCGTGTCGCTGCGTCTCAGAGAGGGCCGGTGGCTGCGTGTCTCTGCGTCGTTACTTTTCTGTGTCTTGGTGTCTCTGTGCCTCTGTCTCTCTGTGTCTCGGTGTCTCTGTGTGCGCGGGCGTTTGCGTGCGCGCGCGTTTGCGCGCGCGCTGGTTCGCGCGCGCATGCGCGGGCGCGCGGGGGCATTTTCGCATGCGTCCGCTCGCGCGCTCGCGCGCGCGCGCGCTGCCCCGCCTTGTCGGCGCTCGCGGCGCCGCGACCGCTAAATGCGCGCGCGCGTGGATGGGCGCGCGCATGCGCATGCGTGCCCGCGCGTGCGTGCGAGCGCCTGCGCGCGCGCGCGCCGGATGGCGTTTGGTTGTGAGTGCGCGCGCGTGCGCGCGAGCGCGCGCGCGTGCGCGCGCGTGTGCTCGCGTGCGTTTGCGGGTCTGCGCGTGGTTGCGTAGTTGTTTGTTTGCTAGGTCGCGCGGTTGCGCGCGCTTGGGCGGGGGCGCGCGCGCGCGCGCGCGTGCGTGAGTGCGCGTGTGCCTGTGCCCGCGTGCACGAACGTGCGCGCGCGTGTGTGCGTGCGTGTGCGCGTGTGTGCGTGTGCTCGCGTGCGTGCGTGTGCGCGCGTGCGTGCGTGCGCGCGCGTGAGTTGCGCGCGCGCGCGTCTGTGGGCGCGGGCGCGGGCGCGGGCGTGGGCATAGGCAGGGGCGCGGGCGCGGGCGCGGGCGCAGCTGCGCGAGCTCGCGGGCCTGGGCGCGGTCGCGGATGCAGATGCGGGCGCGGATGCGGGCGGGGGCGCGGGCGCAGGCGCAGCTGCGCGCGCGCGTGCGCGGGCGGGGGCGCGGGCGAAGTTGTGGGTGCAGGCGCGGGGGCGGGCGCGGGCGCGGGCATGGGCGCGGGCGCGGGCGTGGACGTGGACGTTGGCGCGGGCGCGGGCGCGGTTGTGAGCGCGGGCGTTGGTGCGGGCGCGGGTTCGGGCGCGGGCGTGGGCGCAGTTGCGGGCGCGGCTGCTGGTGCGCGCGTGGACGCGGGCGCGGGCGTGGGCACGGGCGCGATGGCGGTGGCGGACGTGGGCGCGGGCGCGGGCGCGGGCGCTGGCGTCTGCTCGGGCGCGGGCGCGGGCGCGGGCGCGGGCCTGGATGCGGGGGCGGGCGCGCGCGCATGTGCGCGCGCGCGGGTGCGCGGGCGCGCGGGTGCGCGCGTTTGCGCGCGCGGGCGCGGCGCAGGCGCGCGCGTTTCGGCCTCGACCCTCGCGCGGGGCCACGATCGCCCAAGAGTGCGCGCGCGTGTTTGCGCACGCGCGCGTTGCGTTTGCGTGCGCTCGCGCAGGTGCGCGCACGTGCGTGATTGAGTGTGTGTGTGTGTGTGTGTGCGTGCGTGTGTGGTGTGCGTGTGCGTGTGCGTGTGCGTGTGCGTGTGTGTGTGGTGTGTGCGGTGCGTGTGTGTGTGTGTGTGCGTGTGCGTGTGTGTGCGTTCGTGTGCATGTGCGTGTGCGTGTGCGTGTGCGTGGGCGTGTGAGTGTGTGTGTGTGCGCGTGTGTGTGTGTGTGTGTACGTGTGTGTGTGCGTGCGTGTGTGCGTGTGTGTGTGTGTATCTGTGTATATGTGTATATGTGTGTATATGTGTGTATATGTGTGTATATGTGTATGTGTATATATATATATATATGTGTGTGTGCGTGTGTGAGTGTGTGTGTGTGTGTGTGTGTGTGCGTGCGCGTGCGTCTGTGCGTGTGCGCGCGCGCGTTAGCGCGCGTGCGTGCGTGTGTGCGCGGGCCTGCGCGCGCATGTTTGCGTGTGCGCGTCTGTGTACGCGTGTGCGTTGGTGTTTGTGTGGTTGTGTGTTTGTGCGTGCGTTGTTGTGGGTTTGCGTGCGTGGTTGCGTGGCCGGCTGGTCGTTCAGTTGCGCGCGCGCGTCCGCGCGCGCCCCCGCTCAGACGCTTCGCGCGAGGCCGCGACCGCCAAAAGGCCAGGCGCGTGCGCGCGTGCTGTAGTGCCCCTGCAACGCTGCCACGCTGGATCGGATTAAACGTACGCGTGCGTGTGTGTGTGTGTGTCTGTGTGTGCGTGCGTGTGTGTGGGTGTGTCTGTGCCTGTGTCTGTGTCTGCGTGCCTGTGTGTCTGCGTGTGCGCTTAGTGTGTGGTGTGTGTGTGCTGTTTGCGTGCGTGTGTGAATGTGTGTGTGTGTGCGTGTGTGTGCGTGTGTGCGTGTGCTCGTATGTGTATCTGCATGTGTGTGCGCGTGGGTGTGTGCGCACGTGTGCATGTGCACATGTGTGTGGGCGAGTGTGCGTGTGCGTGCGGGTGTAAGCGTGTATGATAGTGTGGTTGTGTGTGTGTGTGCGGATGCGGGGGTGCATGCGTGTTTGTGTAGTGTACGTGTACGCGCGTGCGTACGTGCGTGCGCTCGTGCGTGCGTGGGCGTGTGGAGGTGTGGGTGTTGGCGTGTGTGTGTGTGTGTGTGTGTGTGTGTGCGTGGATCTGTATGCGGGTGTGTGGGTGTTTGTGTGTGCGTGTGTGTGCGCGCGCCCGTGTGCGAGTGTGCGTGTGTTGCGTGTGTGCGTGTATGCGCGTGCACGCGTGTGCGTGCATGTGTGTGTGCGCGCGTGCGTGTGTGCATGCGTGTGTGAGGCCGTGCGTACGTGTGTCCGTGTTTCCGTGCGCGTGTGTGTGTGTGTGTGTTTGTTGACTGTGTTGTGTGTTTGTGTGCGCGTGTGTGTGTGTGAGCGTTTGTGTGTGTGGTGTGTGTGTGTGGTGTGTGTGGTGTGTGTGTGTGTGAGGGGAGGACGGGTGTGCGCGTGCGTGTGCGTGCGCATGTGCGTGTGCGTGTGCGTCTGTGTCTGCGTGTGCGTGCGTGCGTGCGTGCGTGTGTGTGTGTGCGTGTTTGTGTGTGTGCGTGTGTGTGCGTGTGTTGGTGTGTGCGTGTGTGCGTGTGTGCTGTGTGCTGCTGTGTGGTGTGTGCTGTTGTGTGTTGTGTGGTGTGTGTTGTGTGGTGTGCTGTGTGGTGTCCGGTGTCCGGTGTGCGTGATGTGTGGGTTGTGTGTTGTGTGTTGTGTGTTGTGCGGTGTTGCTACTGTTGCTGTTGTTGTTGTTGTTGTGGTTGTTGTTGTTGTGATTGTACGTGTTGGTGTTGTTGTCGTTGTTGGTGTTGTTGGTGGTGTTGTTGTGGTGTGTGTGTGTCTATGTGTGTGTCTGTATGTTTGTGTGCTTGTGTGTCAGTGTATCTGTGTGTCTGTGTGTTTGTGTGTCTGTGTGCCTGTGTGCCTGTGTGTGGGTCCCCATACAGGAGCTTCGGTCTCACGCCACCTCAGCCCTCAGGCCTCACGACGACTCGGCGGTACACCGCTGCTGCCCAGCGGCCCCACGGAAGTGAGTGGGAGCCTGGCGTCCTCGCCCGTGTCCTCGGGGAGGACCGCGGCGACGCCGTTCACCGCGGACACGCCGAGGACCTCCGCCACGGCCCCTTGCCAGGGGGCCGTGCAGATCCGCACCCGCAAGCCAGCGGACACGGCAACACGGGCGGCCGCAGGGAGAGGCGCCTCCCCGTCGCCAGCGGGTTCCGCCGCCGCCAGCGCGCGCACGAGCGCGAGGCCTCGACGCGCGCGTCCAGCAGCAGCGCCACGGGGGGCAGCCGCCGCCGCCGCCGCAGCAGCACCACGGGGCGCCGCGAGCCCCTGCAGCAGCCGCGCTCCGCTCGTCGCCGAGGCTCTCCGAACCGTCCAGGCCAGCAGCCGCCGTCGCTGCTCCGCCCGCCGCCGCCGCGGCAGCGGGCCCCGCAGGGGGCCGCATCGGCCAAGACAGGGGGCCGAGCCGTCGGGCCCCACCTCCGTGCGGGGGGCGGCACGCGCCAGCACCTCCCGCCATTAGTGTGCCGCGCGACGCCGGTGGCGACGCCGACGCTGCGCGGCCCGGGCCGCGGGGTCAGCAGCCGCCGCGCCATCGCGGCCAACACCGGGAGGCTCAGGAGGCGCGCCGCGCCCAGCAGCGCCGCCGGCAGTGCAGCCTGGCCACCCCCGCAGGCGAGGATCGCCGCGGAGGTGGCAGAGCGGGCGACCGCTGCCACCGTGCGCCTTGGGCGCCTGCGCAGCCGTGGCGCTGCGGACCGCCGCCTCGCCGAGGAGGGCGGCATCCGAGAGCTGGCAGGGCCCCTCCAGGCCGAGGGCGAAGGGCGGCGGTTGGACGTGCGAACGCTTGAGCCAAAATGGCAACGGATGTGTGTGTGTGTGTGTGTCTGTGTGTGTTTGTGGTTGTGTGTGTGTGTCTGTGTGTGTGTGTGTGTGTCTGTGTGTGTGTGTGTGTGTCTGTGTGTCTGTGTATTTGTTTGTGTTTGTGTGTGTGCCTGTGTCTGTGTCTGTGTGTGTCTGTGTGTATGTGTATATGTGTGTCTGTGTGTCTGTGTGTGTGTCTGTGTGTGTCTGTGTGTGTGTCTGTCTGTTGTCTGTGTGTGTGTCTGTGTGTGTGTGTCGGTGTGTGTGTCTGTGTGTGTGTCTGTATGTGTGTCTGTGTGCGTGTGTGGCTGTGGGTGTGTGTCTGTGGGTGTGCGTGCGTGCGTGCGTGCGTGTGTGTGTGTGTGTGTTTGTGTGCGTGTGCGCGTGTGTGCGCGTGTGTGCGCGTGTGTGCTTGCGTGTGCTTGCGTGTGCTTGCGTGTGCTTGTGTGTGCTTGTGAGCTTGTGAGTGTGCTTGTGTGCTTGTGTGTGTGCTTGTTTATGCTTGTGTGTTTGTGTATGCTTGTGTGCTTGTGTGCTTGTAGGTGTGTTTGTGTGCTTCTGTGTGCCCCCTCCCCTTGACCCTCGTCGTCCCCGTCCTCCCATAGTGGCTTCGCCGCGGCTCGAATGGTCCTCTTCCTCCTCTTGCTGCTCCTGATCCTCCTCTTCCGGTTCCTCACCGATCCATTTGATTCAAGCCCGATTTTGCAGCATTGGCAACGATGTGTAGCTGATTTGTTCCAGGGCCTGAACCTGACAGTTATTAAACCATGGCTCCCCTCACCATGGCGGAGGTGGCCAAGCACACCAGCAAGACCGACTGCTGGGTGGTCGTGGCTGGTGAGGTGCTCGACGTGACCTCGTTCCTGAGCCAGCACCCTGGAGGCGAGCTGGCCATCCTCACGTTCGCCGGCAAGGATGCCACCGAGGAGTTCAACATGATCCACCCTCCGGACGTGATCCCGAAGTACGCCCCCGACGCCGCCATTGGCAAACTGGGGGCAGGCGGAGGTGATGACAAGCCGAAGAAGGAGAAGAAGGAGAAAAAGATTAAGTCTGGCGGAGGTGGCGGCGGTGGCGGCGGCCTCACCATGGCGGAGGTGGCCAAGCACACCAGCAAGACCGACTGCTGGGTGGTCGTGGCTGGTGAGGTGCTCGACGTGACCTCGTTCCTGAGCCAGCACCCTGGAGGCGAGCTGGCCATCCTCACGTTCGCCGGCAAGGATGCCACCGAGGAGTTCAACATGATCCACCCTCCGGACGTGATCCCGAAGTACGCCCCCGACGCCGCCATTGGCAAATTGGGGGCAGGCGGAGGTGCTGACGAGAAGGACGATTCGGACGAGGACGACGACTCGGATGAGGATGAGGAGGAGGCTGTCGGTGGTAGCGGCGGGTACAGCCCGGAGGAGGTGGCGAAGCACGTCACCAAGGATGATTGCTGGGTCATCCTCGGCGGAAAGGTGCTGGACGTCACCTCCTTCCTGTCGCAGCACCCGGGGGGCGAGCTGGCCATCCTCACGTTCGCAGGCAAGGACGCCACGGCGGAGTTTGACATGATCCACCCGCCCGACGTGGTCGGCAAATACGCGCCAGACGCCGTCATCGGCGACGTCGGCAGCGGCGGTGGCGGCGCGAAGAAGAAGAAGGAGAAGGTGCCCAAGAAGGGCGGCAAGCCGGTCATCCTGGACAAGGGTGGCAAGATCGCCAACCACCAGGCCTGGGGGCATCTGGACGGCCGGGATAATTGGCGCGAGGGCGTTATGGACAGCAACCCGGGCGTGTTCTTGATCAACGTGCGGGCCTACTTCTACGCCGCTTGGTACTTGCTGAGCGCCGTCCTCTACGAGGTTGCCGCGACGATCTTCGTCAACAAGAACTTCAAGATAACTGGCGACCGCGTCGGCCTCACCCGCAGCGCGATTTTGCTGGTCCTGTTCATCGTCATCCATGCCGTTGGCAACCTTCACGTATTCAAGGGGCCCGATGACTTCAACGGCTACGGCTACTTCTACGTGCGCCTGTACTGGACCGGCTTTGGGCTCCCCGCCAACATCGTGGAGGAGTACATCCTGCTCTCGGTCCTCCTGCACGTGCTCGCGGGCCTGAAGCGCACCTGGGACACGTCGCTCGGCATGTTCAAGAACAATCCGCGAGCACTCGACCTCGCCTGCACGGGCCTGGTCCTGCTCACCTTCATGACCGTTCACTTGTTCCAGTTCCGTTTCGGCGACACCGACCAATTCGGGCCGTACATGATCCGCCCCCCTCCCTACCTCATCAATTTCTGGGGCGTGTTCGAGCTCGACCTCTTCTGGACGAAGGACGCCTCGATCCAGCCAGTTGGGGTTCGCGACATCTACGCACTCGAGTTCAAGCTCTTCAACGATTCCAAGGCTCTCAGCCTCTTCTACATGTTCGCGGTCGCTGTGTTCATGGTCCACGGTTGCCTCGGCTGGAAGAAGCTCGTCCCAGCGTCGGCCTTCGGCATCCCGAAGAAGCACATCCCCCTGGTGACAAAGTACGGCTACGCAATCTTCATTGCGGTCGGTCTCGTCTACATCTCGTTCCCGCTCTACTGCCTCTGCACGGTCCCGTTCAACGGCTACGAGAAGGACATCAACTCCGGCCGCGTCGAGCGCTGAGCTCCCGGCGCGCCGCGCATGGCCGGGCTGCGACGAGCGCTGTCCGGCCTGGCGTGAGCGGGCTGGCCTCCTTTGGGCGCTCTGCAGCACCCTGCGGACTGTCGGTCGTCGTCGTCGTCGTTCTCCTCATCGTCGTCATCATCATCATCAGCAGCAGCACCATCATTATCATAATCACAGGCAGCAGCATCAGCATCATCAGTTTCTTTACCAGAATAATCATCAACATCATCAGCATCAGCATCAGCCTCATCATGTTCATTTTCATATTCATCCTCATCTTCGTCTTCATCTTCATCATCACCATCATCACCATCACCATCACCTTCACCATCAGCATCAGCATCAGCATCAGCATCCTCCTCATCATCATCATCATCATATTCATCAATATCATCATCAGCATATTCATACTTACCTTCATCTCCATCGTCGTCATCATCAGCATCATCATCAGCATCAACATCATCATCAGCATCATCAGCCTTATTACCCTCCCATTACTCCTATTCCAGACGCTTCGCGTAACTCGACCAGCCCATCAAGAAACGATGCCCAGGTGAGTTGCCCTGATCAGGACTGGGGGAGCACGCAGTGGAATAGAGGCTGGGAAGCCGTAATACCCCAAGAGGGTTAGGATGGAGGAGGAACCAGAGGAGGACGAGGAGGAGGAGGAGGCGGAGGAGGAGTAGGAGGAGGGGGAGGAGGAGGAGGAGGAGGAGGAGGAGGAGGAGGAGGAGGAGGAGAGGAGGGGAGGGGAGGCGGAGGAGGAGGAGGAGGAGGAGGAGGAGGAGGAGGAGGGAGGAGAGGAGGAGGAGGAGGAGGGAGGAGGGAGAAGGGAGAACGGAGGAGGAGGAGGAGGAGGAGGAGGAGGAGGAGGAGGTTTTAGCCGGATGAGGAAGAGGAAGAGGAGGGAGAAGGGAGAACGGAGGGAGGAGGAGGAGGAGGAGGAGGAGGAGGAGGAGGAGGTTTTAGTCGGATGAGGAAGAGGAAGAGGAAGAGGAGGAGGAGAACGAGGAGGAGGAGGAGGAGGGCGAACAGAAAGGCCAGAGGCCTCTTGGATGATTTTTGGAAGGCTTTTGGGGCGTCTTGGGGGCCTCTTGACGGTCCCGGGGGCCTCTTGAAGCGTCTTGGGTACCTCGGGAAAGCCTCTTGGGGCCTCTCGGAAGTCTCTTAGGAGCCTCCTGGGGGCATCTGGCGGGCCTCTTGGGGCCTCCTGGGCTCCCCGTGGGGTGCCTCTTGGGGCACTCGCGGGAGCCTCGGGGGCCATGTTGGGGCCATTTTGGAAGTGATCGATCAAGGGAGGGGGCGGGGGAACCGCTTAGGGTCCCCCCCCCCTCCAGGAAGCCCAGATCGGCCCAACACCACAGTAAAATGAATGAGATGGGCTTTTTTCGCCGAGGCCATCTTGGACGCTCTAACTACCCGCCGTCTTCCCCGTCCAGGTCCAGGGGTAAGGGGGTGCGGGGAGAGGGGTAAAACCCTGCCCAAAGGGTAAGAAGGGGGGTTGGAAGAGGGAACGCTCTAAACCACTCACGCCCTAAAAAGCTGGTGGGACTCTTCGTCTTTCCTGGGGGCGCGGTAGCGGGGGGGGGAGGACCTGGGGGGGGGCGGTCATGGCCGGTCCCACGAAGTACGTCTCCCAGATGTCATGGTCCGCCCTCTTCTGCTTTCAAGAAGTCCCTTGGCCACCCCTCGTCCGCACACAAGCCTCGGGCCATGCACGGTGCGCCGGACCCCCCGGGGTGACCCTCTTCTTCCTTGGCCCCCCATCTGCGGCGCACCGCTCCCGATCATTCCGTTGGGCTCCACCTCACTCCCGTGGGCTCCCCACCCACCCCCACGTGTGAGGCCCACATGTGTATATATATATATGTATATATATACCTATATATATATATATATATATATATATATGTGTGTATGTATATCTGTCCCTACCGCCCCATCTCCTCCTTGTCCTCCCTGTCATCCTCGCCGCAGAAGACAGCACGTGGTCATCGGGCGAAGACAGCATGTGGTCATCGCGCGAGTCATCCACCACGCGTTGAGTACACCTTCATCGGCCCTCTGTTCCCGCCGCTCCGTCCACCCGCGAGCCCGCGCGTCGCGGTCGCGGCTGCCACCTGGAGCTGCAGAGAGGCCCGCAGGAAAAAGAGTGCACTCCCGCCGGGGTGGCCGCAGTCTCGAGTCGTGGGGCAGCACGGTCAGTGGCTCGACCTCGGGCTGCCTTTCCGAGGGCGCGTGGCCCAGGCCGCCGGCGAGCCGCGCAGTTGCGTGCCTCCCGGGCGCGTCAGGCCCCCGACCCCGTCCCGAGCGCTTTCTGTGGGTGGAGGGCGAAGGGTGAAATCTGAAATGCCGTTTCAATGGACTTTCGAGGCTCGAATCCGCAGAAGGTGAATCACAAGACGGATTGATTCTCGAGGTGCGACAGCCCACATTGATGTCACCCGGAACCCTCCACCCGAAGAAGATGCTCGGCCGTCGCTCCTCCCTCGTGGCCTCTGGGAGGCCCCCCCGCTCCTCCGAGGAGGAGAAGGTCTGACCCAGCCTCAGCGTCGCCTGTTTGGGGCCTCCCGAGAGGCCCCCGCCGCCACCGCTGGAGTCGCCTCGCCCTCGTCGCCACGGCTGGATTCTCCCCGAAAGTTTGGCCAGAGCGCACCCCAGGAGAGGTCCTTTGAGTAGCGGTATCGGTACCTCTGGGTTCCCCAATCCCCTTAGCAGGCGTCTCGAGCGGGTCTCGGCTCGGCGGGCACGCCGCCTACGCAGCAGTGGCAGTTCCGTCAGGCGAGTCCCTTCCTCCGCACCGTCACCAGCATCCATCACCCTCGGGGGTGGACAGAACCCCCACCCTGACACGTCGATTAGTGAATTGTCCGTTTTTTATTCTCGAGAGGGCGCCGCGGTCGTCATTTTCCAAGCTTGCGCCCGCCAGGTTTGGGCCCGAGGTCGTTTTCACCAAACCACGTTTTACTGAAGGGGATCCTGTCCATCCCCGATACCCAGATCCTCGTCCTCGCGCTCGCCCTCCCTCGCGCTCCCCTGCAAGCCCCGATCGCCTCCGCTCCTCTGCCGCTTGCTGCTGCTGCTTTTCTTTGTTTGTTTGTTTTGTTTTTTGTTAATAAAAAATGTGGCGTTTGCTTGGTAGTGCGTGGCTATTCGATCGCACCCTTCTTCGGTCCTACAACTGGTGGTCTCGCTCCAGCGCGAACCGCACTTCCGGATCGGAGCTCCGCTCCCGCCGCTCAGACGTGCGAGCTCGCCCCAGCGAAGGTCCCTCCTCTGCCCTCCCCTGGTCCTCCTGCTGCGCATCCTGCTCCTCCTGCTCCTGGTGTTCCTCCTCCTCCATCATCAGGCTCATCCTCCTGCTCGTTCGCCGCCTCCTCATCCTCCTCGTTCGCAGTGCTGGTCCCCCGTCCCTGCTTGCGCAGCACACGATGGGGTCGCTTTGCGGATCAAGGTTACCTGAGACTCCCAAGCCGGCGATGAAAAGATAGTGCAGCGCAATGGGAAGGTGTTTGGGAGGGGTAGGATGCGACATAGAGCGAGCGGACCTGGGTTGTCACCGTCCACGTCTCGCAATCGTCATCGTCATCGTGCGTCGCCGTTGTTGCTCAAGTCGCGTTAAGATTGGTTCCAGCCGTTGTGCGTTTGAGGCAGGAGCCCCAATCAGGCTCCCACTCCTCTCTCATTGACACCCGGACCTCTTCCGGAGCCATGGCGATGGTATTCCCCGCAAACCAGGCCATCGTCGTCGGTGGCGGCTTGGCAGGCGTGTCCGCAGCCAACACCGTTCTCGAGTGCGGCGGGAAGGTCGTGTTGGTAGATAAGTCTTCTTTCTGCGGCGGCAACTCGACAAAAGCAACCAGTGGCATCAATGGTGCGGAGACGAAGACGCAGAAGGCGAAGGGCATCCAAGATTCCCGCGACCTCTTCACCAACGACACCATGAAGGGCGGGGCCAAGCGTCCGGAGCTCGCCAAGATTCTCTGCTGGAACAGTGGCGCAGACGTGGACTGGCTCGTCGACAAGTTCGACCTGGATCTGTCTCTTGTGGCGCGCCTGGGTGGCCACTCGGCGCCGCGCACTCACCGTGGCGCGGAGCGCTTCCCAGGTATGACCATCACCTACGCCCTGATTCAGATGCTTGAGAAGGTTGCAGAGAAGACGGACCGTGCCCGCATCATCACCAAAGCTTGCGCCAACAAGCTGCTGACCAACACGTCGGGGGGCAAGCTTTCCGTAGTGGGCCTGATCTACTCCAAGAACGGTGAGGAGTTCAAAGAGTTCGGCCCCGTGATCTTGGCCAGCGGCGGCTTCGGCGCCGACTTCACCACGAACTCGCTGCTGGCGCAGTACCGGCCCGACCTGCTCCATCTGCCTACCACCAACGGCGAGCATTGCACCGGCGACGGTATCAAGATGGGCGAGGCAATCGGCGCGCGGACCATCGACCTGGAGTGGGTCCAGGTGCACCCCACAGGACTGGTGAAGCCAGACGACCCCGATGCGAAGATCAAGTTCCTCGCTGCAGAGGCTCTGCGTGGCGTGGGCGGGCTGGTGTTCGACGCCAACGGCAAGCGCTTCGCGAACGAGCTGGGTCGACGGGACTACGTCACTGGTGAGATGTGGAAGAACAAGCCGCCGTTCCGCCTCTGCCTGAACAAGGCGGCCTCCGACGAGATCAGCTGGCACTGCAAGCACTACACGGGCCGTGGCGTCATGAAGTTCTACGAGAACGGCGAGGCCCTCGCCAAGGACATGGGGATCCCTGTGTCTGTGCTCGAGGAGACGACCGAGCTGCACTACCAGGCGGCGAAGAAGACCGAGAAGGACCCAGACGGCGGCTCCTTCCCGGCCTACCCCAGCGGCAAGTCCTGGGACGAGCCCAGCGGCAAGACCGGCTCTGGCAAGAAGTTCTACCACAACATCATCCCAGGCTCCGCCGTGAAGACCCAGCCGTTCTACGTCGCCATCATCACCCCCGTGATCCACTACTG